GGGGGGGGCCCCTTTTTTTTTTTTTTTTTTGGAAGGGAAGGAAAAAATAGGGCTTTACCCCCCCCCCCCCCCCCCCCCCCCTTTGCCCTCTATCCTTTTTTTTCTATTTCTATTTCCCCTCCAAAATCATATTCCCCCCCTTATTATTTTATTTGGCTTTATTATTACTAACAGCTTTTATATCATCCATTCAATTATTCATTAATCGACTCACTCAATTAACCTTTTATTTCCCCCCCTTCTTTTTTGTTGTTGTATACATATAATAGTGTTCAGGAACGCGTTGGGATAATTCATTTGGCTACACTACATAACAATCCCGGATCTCTCTCAAATTTATCCGAGTTTCCACCCTCATTTTCATACTCACCCTCATCCTTGCCTTCACCTTCGCCTTCACCACTATCTCTATTATCACCTGTATTGAATACCTTTTGGTCATACAGACCAAAGTCAATCTGCTCCAATCAAACTTCACCAGAACCAACCAGTCGATTCAAAAGATTCAGTCAACGTGTAATTGATACCAGTGTGTCCTTTGCAGTGTTCATCAAACAATCTCCCTTGCCAGGTAAGAATAAATACAAAAAAAAATCAAGCTTATATATCTTTCTTATTGATCTGTATTTTGTGTTCTATTGTAGACTTGGTATATCTTGTGTTTGAAAACCTGCTCCGGTTTATTCTGTGGGCAGATCACAGATGGCAGGTTCACCAAAAGATTGAAGAGGTTGGTATGATTTGTGTAAAGGCTCTGTTACGCGCAGATGAAAGATACCATATCCATGAATATGCTTCAGAAGCTGCCTATCTGCTGGTTGCCGCTAGTCTCAAAGCCTTGGTGGCCTATAAAGAAGCTCCCACATATCCCCACACCATTTCTCTTCGATCATGATCATTTATATTCATCTTCATCCATTTGCTTCATCTTTTCTCTCTCTTTTATATCCCCCAACACACACCATTACAATCACAGTTACAATTACAGTATTCTTCCCTTACTCTCTGTCTATCACACACTTTCACAGAACACTCCCAAATATACGCACATACGCACATACCTACATACATACATACATACCTACCTACCTACCTACCTACTTACCTACTTACCTACTTACTTATACACACGCATTTTTATATATATTTATCTTCCTTTTCTTTTATTCTTGCAACGTTAAATAAAATATAAAATATAAAATATAAAATAAAATGATATACACACAGACACACATGCATTTTACGCTTTGGCTCCTGTTAGATCATCCTATGCTTACTCTTGATCTATATATCTATCTATATAATTGTCTATCTATTTCTCATATATGTATAGTAAATTCTTTGTTTTGTTTTTATCTTCCTTTTAGTCATTCTTGTTTTTTGTTGTTTTGTTGTTTGTACAGTAGTATAATTATGGAATACGGCTTCTGACCATGGAAAATCTGTCGACATTCTCTAGTGTGTACTTTATAGGCTTCTGACCCATGACATTGTCAGAAGTATCATTAAGGTAGTTGCGTACACCAGTGCGATATTCCTACAAGAACAAATATACAAATATACATATATTATTATTATTTTAATATATACATATATGTCTTATTTCGAATTACTTGTCAAAGTCATCTTTTTTTTTTCTTTGTACCTCTTCTTCCTTTTTCATTGATTTCATTTCATTTTCCTTTTCATCGTCTGCTTTCTGACGTGCTTCCATACTAGAGTATCTCTTGTAGGCATAATCTAACAAGTGAATTCCTACCAATATTTTGATAGCCAAAAGACTATATATATATATATATATATGTATATAAGTATGCTTATTTATTTATTTATTTTATATATATATATGTATATCAACTTACCAGAGTGCCATAATAGCTATGACTGCTGTCCAGGTCACAACTCTAAAAACTTTGTCTAGACCTTGCTCTAACCACCCACATTCGGCTATCGAAAGTACGACGACTTGAATGTGGGCTGGTAACATTCTGCTCACAGTCCCATGGTGGTCGGTTAAATAATTCAATAGACTGTTGGTAAGCATTGATGCAACCGAGACCCCGTGCCCTGATTGACTGTGGTGAGACATGAAAATCATAGGCAATAGTTGTTGCATCATGCGAACCTGCTAAATAAATAAAGAATATCATATTATTATATCAATACACATAGCATTTAGTACACAGTACACACACACACACACACAAATTAATTGATAGTTTAATTATTTGAATTAAATTATTATACATATACTTTACCATGCATGCAAGAGGAAGAACTGGAAGACCTAGTCTACGAGATACCACTGGAGATTGATCTACAAATGCCTATAATATACATGTTTAAATAAATAAATAAAAAAATAAAATAAAGAAAACCTGCTTCTTACATGTCGCTGTCCACTGGATCGACTGGGACTTCCGATCACAAGATCCTTGCACAGGATATCTGTATATTTTCCATATATCGAAGGCCTAATCTGATTAAATTTGGTGATAAAAGCATGCTTGAGCCAGTCCACCATAAGTTCCGAGGCAATAACCATAACGACCGGCGTCATAAGTGTATTGAGTGGCATTGAGGCAGGTAGTTTGAACAGAGGAACAAAGGTCGACGGCAGGATTGAAGACGGAGAGGATTCGGACAGCTCGACGACGTTTCTTAATGTGATAATTACCAAGAAGACTACCTGTTGAAACCTTTCAACAATATCTACATAAAAAATAACATGAATTTGTGGGGGGGGGGTCTTTTTTTTTTAAAAAAAAAAACTATTTCTTACCACTACAACTGAGTTGAAACAAATTCTCTTTTTCAAACTTTTTGAAAACTGATTGTTTAATCTCGACAAACTGGTTGGAAATCAAGAGAGACAAGAGCGCATTGGAATAAAAGTTGATTGCAACATTGAGAGTGATCATTTGAAAGAATAGAACCGAAGTATGGACAACTAAAAGATACAAAAAAAAATATTAACAATAAAATCAAATATATACACAAGAATAGCTTTATAATTATTAGAAAGTAATAATAATATTTACTCATGTATCCAGTTGCCAGTAAGAACAAGGTAAGTGGCTTCAATTGACGTTTGGCATAGGCAGCTCTTCCGATACTCTGACCAGGTTCGCCAAGTGTGGCTTTTGAAAACAAGGCATCCAGGATATCGACACCAACCGAACAGCACAACTTGTCACAGATCTCGAGAACATTAAAAACCACATATAGTTTGAGAACCGCTTGGCCACGGATAAAATGGTATAGTCTTGAGGGGTCGAATGAACACATTGAAATACAAGTGATTGTAATCAACAATCCTTTCAAAAGATCGCATTTTTGAGAAGGTCGAAGCCGAACAACACTTGATTTATCATTAATATAATAATTATATAATATATAAAAGATACTTACTTTGGTTTGCGGAATAGAAACCATTGTAGATTGTGAAAGAAATTGAATGCGAAATGGTACAGTGCCAGAAAGAACCGAAGAGGTAAGATGGTAAAAGTGTAGAGAAATGAATCCAAGCAGACCACAAACCCAAATCCCATCAACTATTAAATATACACATACAAAGGACGAAGAAGAGAATGTGATAATAATAATAATAATAATAAATAATTAGATATTCATTTAGTCATACTTTTCTTTAAAAAAAATTAATTCTTTGAAATCCATTCAGTACAAATGAATTTACACAACAATATACAATACCTTTTCAAGTGCACCAGGAACAGCCAAGAAATTCGTAACCCTCTCACGCTTAATTTCCTGCCCACTATCAAAATCAGACACCGTCAATTCATCCCGCAGATAATCCCAGAAAGAGAAACTTGGTCCATTTTGATTAGCTGTTTCTGCTGGTGGTGGTGCTGCTGTTGATTTTTCTGTCGTGGTCGTATCTGGTCTTATTGTTGTCGTTGTTGTTGTCGTTGTCGTTGGTGATTGTACCGGTGTAGGCAAGACTGGAGATTCAGCAGGTGCTAATGGTGAAGGAATACGTGCGAGAAGAGATCTGTTTCTCTTCTTTCGCTTCTTCTTGGTAGGTAAAAGCGTCGATTGGCTTCTGACGTGTTTAAAAGTAGGGTCAAGTGCTTGGAAGCTGTTCGGACTACTGTATGAAGGATTTAAGGTAGGGGAGATGATGAGTGGTGGTGGGACTGCGGGTTTGTTTCTTGGGTTTGGATGTCGAATCGATGACTCATCCATAGTGTAAATATAACAATGACAACAATGAATAGGTTGAATGACAAGAGGTTGATGACAATTATTACAAAATAAAAGTAAAATAAAATAAAAATATTATATATATATACATAAATTGAAATACAAATACAAAATGATTAAATCGATTAAAATGAATATTAAATATATTTGTATTTGTATTTGTATTTGTATTTTTATATGTACTTTTATATGTATATGTAGGCTATTATAATATATCAGAACTTGAATTTGCCTACAAAGATACTATGCTTGTGAATTTCTTCAAGTATAAGAGTAATTGGTATAAATAATATATATATATATAAGGTGATATTCTTTATATGTATATAAAAGTAGTATATCTTGGTGTGAATATATATATGTATTTATATACAGTATATTTATTATAATAATAATAATAATTTGTACAAAAAAAAAGCCGTAACTGTTGTATTTTTTTTGTAGGGAGCCGAAGGCTCTAGTTTATTAGTGAGCCTCTATGCTGCAAGGCAAAAGAGGAAAATCACGACTTGTTTTTGGCTTTTATATTTTTACAATGTTTTTCTATTTATATGTTTGTGGTTATATATATTGTGGAGGTATGGAAGGAAGCTAAAGGGGGGGAAAGTCGAGAGCAAGTTCGCTCTTGAGGCGGTCGAGAAGAGAGGAAGCAGTGGAAAAGGCAGCGGAGGAGACAAAAGGAACGTGATCAAATATGAACAGCCAATGATGGCGCCATATAGCCAGCAGAAAGAGAAGAATCGGTGCAAGGAGGGAATGTGAAGGATTGCAAACCAGAAAGCAAGACAGTGGGTGTCGCGGTCTGGGCGAAGTACAACGTCCAGATTGACGACCATACGGACAGTTTGACCGGACACTGGAACAAAAAATGAGTTTGATTGTCCAGAGGGTGAGAGCAGAGGGCACAGGATGGGTCTGGGAAAGCGGTAGGGATCCTAGAATTGAGGCGAGAACGGCAAGGAATGTTCTTGTGCAGGACACGAAACCAAACGTTGCGGGCCCCATGCGGCAGGGGGAAGGACCAAAACCGACGAAGCTGGCGAGGGACGAGTGTGGGGCTTATGGGGCGTGCGGATTTGGAGTGGAAATTGCAGAGTAGGCGGAAAGACTGGGTGGACAAACGATGCCAAGGGATGCCGGGGACAAGAGCCGTCAAGAAAGGACGCACATCGACAGCTGTACCGGAAGGCATATCTAGCGAAGGAAACTGTATGGCACAGATCGCGGGGGGAATGGTGACACGATACAGGACAGGGTGCAAGACAAGAGAGCGAGTGTAGAGACGTTCGAAGAACCGGTGAAGGACAATAGGACGACGGAGTATGCGGTGGAGGGGGCGTTGGGCAAGCACGCCGAAACTAGGATCTACTTCATAGGCGTCGGAAACCCGGAGATCGCGCCATGCAGATGGAAAGGGAGGGTGGTCTGGTTGTGCGGTAGTGAGATAGGAGAGAGGCAGAGAGAGACAGGTGGGGAGGTTGACTACCACGTCAGAGAAGTTGTGAGGGAGAAGATCAATGGTAGCAAGTAGGGTGGCCAGAGGAGAGTCGAAATCACGCTGATGAGAGGATCGGAGAGATGGAAATATCAAAGGAACGAGTGGATCAGCAGATGAGGAGTCGAGGCGGAGGACGTAAGAGAACCAAGGCGGGACCAGGCCAGAGGGGGACAGCGGAGAGCGGACGAGAGGCCGGAGCCAGCACAACTGAAGAGCAGCCTGTTGAACCTGAGGATCAAGGACCTCTAGACCGCCGAGCCGAATAGGCTGGCAGAAAGTGCCGAGAGAAATGGGAGGAAAGGAGCGGTATTGTATAAACTTACTCATGATCGAGCGAAGTCGACGGAAAAAGGATAGAGGTACAGTGACAACTCTGAGGACGTGCCAGAGCTTAGAGAGGATGAGAGAGTTGAGCACTGTGGCACGGCCACGAATAGAGAGAGAGCGAGAGTGGTGGATATTACAGGTAGATTCAATCTTGGAAAGAATGTTGTCACAGAAAGAATTGTGCTGAGGTAAGGATTAAATAAGAGGAAAGCCGAGATATCGCAGGGGAGTGGAGGAAGATCTGTCAGACCAGGCGGTGATGTCGAATTGTTGTAGGACGGGGCGCCATTCTGGCAGTGGAAGACCGGACAGGGAGAAAGCTTCAGTTTTATGGAGATTGATGCGAGCATTGGAGGCATGAGAGTATGTGAGAAGATGATGATGAAGACGGGACAAGTGGGCGGCATCAGGCAGAAAGACTAGCAGATCGTCGGCATAGGCCAAGAGCTTGATGGGCGGAGGTGGTGGAATAGCAGTGCGTGGTGATGGAGAAAATCCGGCAAAGGAAGGATCATGAATCACACGACGCAACAAAGGTTCGAATGCAAGGTTAAAGAGTACAGGAGAAAGAGGATCACCCTGCCGGAGTCCACGAGCCTGAAGGAATGATCGGGATAGGTGTCCATTGACATTGATTCGAATCTGTGTAGAGAAGAAAAGTTGAGATATACAGGTAACGAGGGAAGGGGGAAAGTTGAAATGCTGCAAGACCTGGCGAAGGTAGTCGGGATGGACTCTGTCGTAAGCTTTCTCCTGATCCAAAAGAAGGCCTATACCAGATGAACCGTCCTGTCTAGCCTGTGCCATAACCAACTTGGTCAGCATGCCATTGTCAGCAATGAAGCGTCCTTGGACAAACCCGGTCTGGAAGGGCGTAACAAGGGAGGAAGCAGCAGGCACCATGCGATGATTGATGAGGCGAGTGAACACTTTGGCATCGGTATTGATGAGAGCGATCGGGCGCCAGTTGCGGAGGGAGGTGAGGTCACCTTTCTTGGGAAGAAGAGAGACGTAGGTTGATTGCCAGGTCGAAGGGAACACACCGAGGGCAAGCCCATCGTTAAATATTCGAACAAGTAAGACAGCACACATCGGATGATCCATAATTAATCGCAGAATCTCATAAGGCAGGCCATCCGGCCCAGGGCTACTGGCATTAGGAGTGCGAGTGGTGCCGTCTCGGATGTCATCCAAGGTGAAGGGTTTAAGGAGGGTCGTGGAGGTAGTTTCGGAAAGAAAGAGGTCTGGTGGCAAGTGAAGGAGGAGGTCGTCGATAGCTGTCTGAGCAGGAGGGTCGGGTGTGTAAAGATCTTCATAAAATGCAGCAGCAGCTTCCGTAAGATCATCGGGATCAGTGCATAAGGTGTCGGTGAAGGGGTGGCGGAGGCTGGTTATTGTGGTTCGAGCTTGGCGAAAAGCAACTGTGCGTTTCAAAAACCCAGCGGAAGTTTCGCCTTGTTCTCTCCAGTGTTTTCCGGCGCGGAGTGCTAGTATCTCGGTGCGTTCCTGTTGAACTTGCTGAAGTTGACGCTCGACGATGGGCAGCTGGAAGTTCTGAGCAGGTTGATGGCGAAATCTATGTATCAAATGGTCACGTTTACTACGAAGCTTTACCTCCAAAGTGGCAAGTGATGGGCGGGTTGTGCGTGAATATGAACGTGTGAAACGAGCCACTTCGACTTTGATCAGATCCCACTGTGATTGGGGGGAAATTGAAGGCGAGAGTAGTGGTATGAAGGATGAAAGACAGTCGGACAGGGAGGAGCGGAAGGAAGGGATGTTCGCCAAACGAGGGTTCGCACGCCACAAACCTCGACCAATGTGAGACAGCATAGGAAAACTAAGACAGGTACGTACAAGGCAATGATCGGTCCACAGGGGCTGAACAAATGTGACGGTGGACGAAGAGTGACAAGACGCTATATCCTTGGAGGCATATATGTAGTCGATAGTCGAAGAGGAAAGGTCGCGATGAAAGGTAGGCATAGGTTGAGCGTCAGACAAAATGCAGCCATAGACGTGGCGCGAGGCCAGTACGAGAAGCATTTGCATATGAGGAATAATTAAAATCTCCTAGCATAAGAAAGCGAGAAGGAAGGGAAGGGAGAAGATGTGGGGAGGATAGGAGAGAGGTGAGAAAATCATATCGAGGACGATATGAAGCAGGGACATATAAAACGCAAATACGAAATGGGGCAAACAAATTGGAAGAGTGAACAACGGTGGCAGTAATGCAACGACCACAGAGAGAAAAAAGAGGATCAGTAAAAGAAATGAGGGGAGAGAGGGAAACCAAACCACAGTGAGGAGACCATAGTGAGTCGGATGCTTGAAATTGAAGATGAAACGTCTGTTGAAGAGCGTCTGTGTTGGCGTGAGTTTCTTGAAGGGCAAGTATGTCTAGAGAGAGGGAGCGAAGATATCTAATAAAGAGAGAGCGATTATTGGTGTTTCCGGACTTGACAAGTCCGCGGCAGTTCATGGAGGCTATATTAATCATAAATTTAAGAATGATCGCCGTCTGCCATCTCGTCATCAGTTAGGATATTCTGGGAGTCTTGGTCGTCGTCGCCGTAGGTAAGGGTGGAATCAGTTGGTGGGGTGAAGAATACCGAATGACGAGATGTACTTTCGCGCCAGACGCGATCCGTAGATGTCGGCAAGTTAGAGAAAAGAACGACTGGTACTTGACCGGGGACGGGAGTGGCTGTGGCGACATCGAGATATGACCTAGTGTTGGTTGTGGTAGAGGTAGTAGTAGAGGGTTGTGGAGTGGTTATATTGGCTTGACCTAGTGTTGTGGTGGACCCAATAGGTGGGTCCGGTACTTTAGCGGGAAAAGCCATGCCGTAACTGTTGTAAGCTATCTTTCCTTTGATAGGACCTATAAAGAATAACTTGGTGCAACAAATCCCAGTATAGAAATAGATCAAGACGCTCAGTGATAGATTACACACGGTGTTGGTAGGGGTAAAAAGGACAAAATTAATTAATTATATTTTATATAAAATAAAATAAAATACAGTACAATACAATACAATACAATAAAAACTGTAGAAAACCCTCTTCTGACATTTTATGCCTTCTTGGCCCTAATTTAACCTAAAGAGAGAAAGGGAGAAAAATATAATAAAATAACCACATACACACACTAGACACAGACACTAGACAGAGACACAGACAATATATATCTCTCTATCTATCTTTATCTCTCATATTCGCACACCCCTTTTTATTTCTTATTTTAATTTTTTAATTTTTATTTCTTCCCTTCTTTTTATCCCTTTTCTATCCTCTTTCTCTCTCTTTATATATATATATCACTTCTTTTTTCCTTTCCTTTCTTAACAAAGAAGAAGAAGAGACAAAGAGAACCAACAATAAAAAAAATGACATTCTCACGGATGGAATCCACCATGGAAGATGCCTTTGTTGAATGGGCAAGCATAAATTACACTCTAATTAAGATTATTAAAAGAAAAGAAAAAAAAACTCTCTCCTTTAAACAAAGTCATCTAACTAATCATAAAATTTCGAATATATATATATGTGTGTGTGTGTACAAATATAAATGGATACCATTACACATTATATAGATCAACACATTTGAATGTAAATCGAGTCCTATTGACACCGTGGTTGAACTAGCAGATGGCATCATCCTTTCTCAAGTACTCACTGACATGTAACTATCCTACATTCTCCTTTATACACATAATATTCTTATTTTTATACTCCTTTAAAATCTATTACACATTTTATATTCCAAAGAAGAAGAAAAAAAGCATAATACTTTAATTTAATTAATAATAATCAATACATAACATAACATATCATAACATATCATATCATATACAGTGATCCTAAATGGTTCAAACAAATAACTCCAACAGAAACAGCCAGCAACTGGGTCGTTCGATTCAACAACCAAAAGAAAATCCACAAACTCATCACTCGGTACTTTGAAGAAATCCTTGGTCAAGACCCAGAATTGCTTCCGACCGTAAACGTATCTGCTATTGCAAAAGATGCCGACCAACACGAGATATTATTGGTCTGCCAAATGATTATCGCAATTGCAGTCCAATCAGACAATAACCGGATCTACATTGACATGATCCAGAGTCTGACCCAAAAGAGTCAACACTGTCTGATGGTTTCGATTGAGCAAGTCATGAGTCATTTTAATAATGACTATGAACCTTCACCAATGAACAGCAACAACAATAGACTTTCTCAGGTGTCATCTATTTCGAATACAAAGAGCTTGATCGACATTGATATGCCTTATCGGTACCAGCTTGAATTTGAAAAGATATTGGATGAAAAGAAACAATACGAGACATCTCATACTCAACTCTTGACTGAATATGAAGTACTCCGGGACAGACTTGTAAGATTTTGTCTTTTTTTTTGGTGTTGATATCATTGTTACTTAATGCTATTTTAGAACGATGTAATTGGTGAAAAAGAGGATTTAAAGACTAGGTTACGCGACATGGATGAGGCGATTACACAAGCCAATAGTACAGGAAAAGCTGACTTTGTTATGAGAACAGAAATCGATCACCTGAAGCAAGATTTGTAAGTCTTAACCAAAATAATAATGATAATTGTTATAATAGACATTCTGAAATGACAAGTAATCATATCGCACTATATGGAATAATAAAAACCCTTATTGCTACTACCAATACCATTTCTCTTGATTATTATTATTATTTACTAACAAAATAAGGGGGGAATTGGGGAAATAGGGAGAGGAGTGAAGACAAACGCCATGAGACAGAGACCTTGTTGGAAAGCCATATGTCTGCTATTCATGAATTAAAGAAAAAAGTAATATTATGCACAGCCTATTTACTATGACTATTATTATTATTATTATTATTGAAAATAATAACAGTTATTATTATTATTATTAGGTCGATGAACTGACAGTCCAAGCAGAAGAGGCATCAGGATTGAGAGAACAGCTGGAAGAGTATCGTCACACTACAGAACGCATGCAGAAGTTGGAAAATACACTTGAAAAATACAAGCGGAAAGTGGAAGAGACTTCAGAGCTGAAACGACAGATCAAAGTAAGAATCCATCATTTATATATATATATATATATATATGCATATACATTGTGCATATACATAGTACATGCATTTAATTATTGAAATCATACCTTTTTCTTTTATAAATTTCTTTCATATATTTATATTTTGTATTACATTGTTGTAGGCACTTGAAGATCAAAATACTAGTCTATTGGAACGTAGTCATCAAGTAGAAGATGAGTACAGGAAAGTACTGGCTTTCAAAACCTTGATGGATTCGTACAAAGAACAAGTCCAGCATCTCGAGCTAGGTAACCGAGAAATCCTCAAAGAAAGAGACCGGCTAGACGCAGAATTACGTGGTATGGCAGAAACCTGTGCCTATCTTGAGAGCGACCGTGATCGCAATGCAGAACAGGTCCAGATGTTGGAAGAGCACATCAAAGAGTATGAATTGGGTGTCGGTAAGTTTATTTTATTTTATTCTGTATTGATCTATTGTGTGTGTGCGTGTGTGCGTGTATATACTTATATGTATCTACTTTATTTCTTCTTGTAGTTCAACCAGTCAATAGATTAGTCAGCCACAGAGCCAGTGTGGTGATCGATGACGAAGTAGATAATCCTAACAATACTATGGAAGAGAATGTAAAGAACGCAAATATAACAGAATTGTAAGTCCTTGTCACTTTTTATTTTATATAAATATAAATATATTACCAAGACTTTGTATCCTCATTGTTATTGGATAGGCGCTTGACAATCGTTCGATTACAAAGACAAATCAGGGAATCTGAAGAGAGCAAGACATCCGCACCTGATTCTGCTCAAGAAGCAGAAACTCTCAAGGCTGTAGAACAAGCCAAAAAACAACTTGAAAAGGTAATAAATACATAAATAAATAAACAAGTGAATCTCACTCTCATTTCTTTAAACATTCTTTAATTAACTCTTTTTTTTTAAAAATAATAATAATATATATATATATATATGTCAGACATACAATAATGTGTTGAGTGAGCGCGATCAGCTTCGTAAGGAACTTGCCCAGATCCGCAATGGCATTCCAGACTCGCTTATTAACCAAACCCAGACCATCATGGCTTTCCGGTCACGTATTCTGGATCTTGAGAAAGAAGGTGCCTATTTGCGTGAAACCACTGCAAAACTCGAGACGGCTGTGTTTGAAGGAACTCGCAGTGTAGCCAAGGACGGAGTAAGTCTTGGTCGGTTTGAATCTGAACAGACCAGAATTCAGGAACGTCTGAATAGATTGGAGGATATCACCAAGATGCAACTCCATGACATCAACCGTATGTTGGTAGAGGCCAATTACCTTAACGGAGTCAATAACCACCCTGAAGATGAAGCATCTCAAGGTAGACCTGGAATGAGCGAGTAAGTTTCTAACTATTTGTTTTTTTTTTAAAAAAAATTTTGTGTTGATTAAACATGCATGTTTGTATGTATGAATAAGCAAAAGATTGCTATATACATATATTAATCCATTTTATTACCTTTGATTTTTCTTCTTCTTTTCTTATTGACTTCAAGTGCGGATCTTGAGATTATCAAGCAAGAAAATGCCAATCTCCAAATTCACGTACTTCATCTCCAAGAAGAGATCAATGAGACCCAAGGAAAGATCCGTAAAGTGAGAGATGTAAGTAAAAACAGTCTGAATACCCTTTTTGGTTTCTTGGAATCTAATCCAAGATTATATTTACGTTTCGTTAGATGGTAAAACTTTATGGTCAGCTTTACCAGGAGATGAGTGCTCGCTTTGGAGGTATGAACGGAAGAGAAGACGGTGGCCTTCTTGGTCGCGCTCGTACAAAAGAAGAAGAGCATGATCTTCTCAAGGTAAACTTTTATTTTATATGTATATTTTTCAATCAGTACTAATATGTGTGTTTGTGCGTGTGTTTTTGTCAATTATTACTATTACTATTTCTTTCTTTGGGCTAAAATAGAAACAAATTCACGATGTCAGACTTCAATCGAGAAGAGAGCAACAATTGATCATTTCTGCATGGTATGATTTGGCCCGTCGCCATCATCGCGACACCTCGAGCATGTCCGTTCGTTCGACACCTTCATCATGGCTCGGTAGACAACGAAAGATTTTGGACGGTCAACTCAGACAACGTCTTTGCTAAAATCCACAAACCAAAAATTCGCAAAAAAAAGCAGAAAACAAAAGAAACCCAAAACCAAAAAGAATTCACGTACATTGCAAACACGCAAACGCTTTTCTATATATATATATATATATATCTACTTCTCTTCACACAAATACACACACCAACTCACACACACACACACACACACACACTAACACACACACAAATACAAACACAAACACAGACACAAACACAGACACGCACATTCTCTTCCCAGTCTTTTATCCTTTTTTTATTCTTTATTTCTTATGCCTTGATATTTACGATTCCAAACTTCTATAAAACAAAAACGAACAAAAAAAACGCACTTATTTATAAGTTATATATACAAAAAAAAGCACACAATGTCAAAAGGCATACACAAAAATATACATATACAAAAATTACTCAAATACAAAGCTATATATATAATGAACGTTTGGTATATTTATTATAATTTGAATACTTGTCTACTAAAAAGAAGAAGAAAAAAAGATCGTTTTTGATCAAAATACCAAATTAAATACAGAAAATCAGCCAGAGATCCAAATCGACTAGGCAAACATCTCTTACATTTGTAAGTAGCCTGGTTGAAAACATTAAGATCCATCATATAAAAGTCGTTTGGCATCAATTTCTCAAATATTGAGCAAACGATCCACTTTTTTCACTTTTAAAAAACCATTTACTAATTAAAAAAAATTGGATATTTACACCACATAGCCATACTTACTACTAAAATTCTCTCACGACATACACCCAAAAACAAATCAGATATTTGTATTTTTGTGTACTAAGTAAAGCTGTAAAACACGTTAATAGATGTCGGCCAGTGCTGTTTTGATCAATATCAGAACAATGTCCATGGAGATATCAATAGATTTAAAGATCGCAATATCGATATTTACACCTTGAGACGATGTATTTTAAAGGGCCGCAGTAAAGATTGTGTTTCAAAAAAAATCGTCCCTATGCAATGACAGGTTCTTTAAGCATTTAGCATAGAACACTATGCTCATCCTTCTTCTTCTTTTCTGTGTTACCAAATATAGCCTGGTAAATGCCAACCTTGTCAAAATTTGTGTAGAGAAAGGTACTTATTTTAACACTTGCAAAAATATTGACAAAAACAATTATATTTAAAGAAGTAATAATAATACATCAAGGCTTTTTAAGCCAGTCAAAGACACCCATAGTACTTGATTCAGAATCCATGTCAACATAAGCCATTGTGTCCCACTGTGTACGTTATAATCTGCTCATATAACAATAATCAACGACAGGGTCAGTACTCCCATTACAGAGACAAAGTATGGGTAGTATTTGTGCTCTGTATATCTTTGCTATCCATTTCTAACGAAAGACTTGTTGTGTACTAGTATTTCTTCTAGAAAGCTGTCCAGGTAAAGAATATCTGGAGTGCCTTCAATGCTACTTATTGGAATATTCCCCTCTTCAGAAATATCTTTATTCGTATACACTCCAATTTCGGTATCTAGACTCGCGCCACCTTATTCATTAAAGAGGTTTGTGTCTATAACATCTATTTCTGTGGCAATATATTTTAATTCTAAAAGATTCTAATGTTATATCCTTGTCGTATGAAATACTAAATGCTGCTAGCTGCTTGTGCAAAACCCAGAGAGAAACCGTCTGAAGAACTGATATAGTCCAATATATATACTTTAAAGCAGAGTGAAGCCCTCACGTTGGACATATAAAGTATTTTATACGCAAAAATGGACTATATTCGCCTGTATATCCGTAAATTGAAATGTTTCGAGCTTAAATATGGTATATCGTTTTTAAAGTTCATAGAAAATGTCTTTTTTTTTGTATTTATTGGTCGACTACAGTGCAAAGTACTGAACGATTGACTTTTTATGCCTGAAAATTTGTAGTACAATAAATATATGAGAGTAAAAAATCTACTTCAAGAAACGACTTATAATTACCAGGAGAACCTTCCGTGAGCACTTATGATAAAAGTATACTTCTGTAACTATATTAAGCTTTGACTGCAATATTTGTAAATATGGCAGCGTTATTATACATTAAATACAATGTATGCTAACATAGTATGTTGCCTCAACTTTGAAGAATTGGTAAACTTTTTTTGGTTTACTTATTGTTTGCAGCTTACTCATTATTTCGGGATTTAGAACATGTGTATTAGATATGACCGTTTAAAGAAACAAAGCTTGTGAAATGTATTTTGTATTCTATGAACTGTCATGTAGTTTTATTCTACAGAGGTACCTTCGATAATAATCAGTATCAGGCGTATATTTTTAGATCAATTGTATAAGTATATATAGCTAGATTTGAATATATGATACAGTCAAGAATATGTATAAGTGTAAGAACATTGAATATTTGAATTAGATCCTTCAACTCACTCTCTTAAATCGTCCTTAGCTTTTATTAAGTCAATTCTCTAATGGTTTTAACTTTATCAAGTGTGTTCTTGTCATTGCCCTTGCTTATACTACATTAATCACATTTGCTGTTTGGTTTTTGGTTTTGTTTTGAAAACTCTTCTTTTGGTCCATATTTTGTTCTTTTTTTTTATAATATAATCGAATATGCTGTTGCTTTGTCTGTGTTTCTACATAATAATAATGGTGTTACAACAGTGTTTAATATTGCTTCTAGTCAATATATATATATATCAAAGGTTTATTAACGATAATACAAAGTTGATCATTTTTATTTGAATTTATTTATGAAACATGGGTACTATTTTTAACATGAGAAACGTTTTGACTTGGTTAACAAAAAAAATCTTTATCAAAAAATTGCGCAATACTTTAATAGATAAATCGCAAAAAAATCAAGATCACAAGAACCACTTGAATACGCAAATCATAAGGAGAAACCAATAATTTACCCTTGTAGTTAGATGTGAATGGTGGGGTACGAGACCAATACAATAAGAAGTTTTGGCTTATGTTAGTCACACAAGTTTCTTCTATTTATTTTTCTAGGTGGTTGATCCAAAAAAGCAAGAAAAAGAAAAATCCCCTTGTCATTAGTCATACTTATAAGAAACTATTGTACCGGACACCGGACAGCAAGACTTGTAATTTGTTTGACATACATTCCGGCGTTTTAAAGAAAGAAACAAAGGCAATTAGCTCACAGCCAAAGGAGCGCCTGGATTTCTTTTTTTTTTTGGAGTTTGTAAATTCCATACACACACAACTGTGGTAACATCTGCTATTGGTTGAGTGCCAAAGCCTTCATTTCAGACACTTCATTAACACACCAGAAACAAAGAACTCTATTTACTCATTCAATAATTCAATTTATATGAGACAAATTCAGATATCAATTAAAGTAACAATAGAAAATAAAAAATTGCCTGATGTGAATTGGTTTGGTTACTCTCATGTGGTCTGTGTGAGCAACGTCATCTTGAGCATCCTCCCAGGCCACGGTGGTTTTTACGGGAGTGGGTTTTACCGATCAACAAAAGAATTTCAAATAAATATATAAATAAAATAAAATGATAAAAATAATAATAATCATAATAATCAGTTACAGGCTCTTTGTTTTCCCAATTCCACTTTCTTTCAACTACTTTTCTTTGTTGTTGTTGCTTTAATCAGCATGTCTGAACATAACTTTGCTGGGTCCTCTTTTATGTCCAACAGACGATCGCTGAGACGTAACTCGGCTCCATTGGTAGAATCATTGGACGACAGCTATTTCTCCATGCCCACCAAATCTTTGGATCTTCGTCAATCCACCCTTTCCTCAAAATCCCCTCTTTTCTCCTCTCCTTTACCTTCCCCAACTACCAGCACTAATGCTACAAACTCTACTTCTGCCACCTCTTTGACTGCTGCCAGAATTCACCAGCATCGTTTGAACGCTGCTCAGGAACAGCGTACCTACAGAGACAGCTGCCAACGTCTCATGACACATATTGGTGCAGTTATTGGCATGTGCGACGACCTTCGCCAGTCTAGCAAGCACCGCTCTGCTATTTACTACCCTGCTCCTCGTAGAACAGCTCCCTTACGTTCCCAGACATTGTCAGCTATCGCCAATGACTATCACCACTTGGAGACTGCCTCTCAACCAGACATGGGATCACCCTCTTCAATTATCGATTCTGTCCGTCGCTCCTCTGTCCATTCTGCTATGGAGCCCTTGACAGTGTTCAGCCGACAGGTTGAAAAGAACCGTTTGATCCAGACAGATTTCGGCAAGGATCTTAGCATCCTCAACCTGGAGCTCAAGGTCGGCCATGAAAGCACAGACCTCAGCACCCTCGAGAACCAGTCAATTGCCAATCTTTTGGAAGACAAACTATCTCAGTGCATTCGTCACCTCGAGAACCTCCACACTCGTGTTGCTGACACCTCATCTAAGGTGCTTGTCACTGGTGACTTAAATTCCGGAAAGAGTACCTTTGTCAATGCTCTCTTGAAGCGTGAACTCTTACCTGCCGATCAGCAGCCCTGCACCAGCATGTTCTGCGAAGTGCTTGATTCTACTCTCAACGATGGTCTTGAACAAGTTCACGCCATCCCAGACGTTCAGAAATACAACCGTCTCGATCCTGCTACCTACCACATCGTAGAGATGCGCCATTTGTACAAGGTCATCACTGACCAGTTCGATCTCTACAAGATGCTCAAGATTTACGCAAGTGATGCTCGCTCTACTCAAGAGAGTCTTCTCCACAACGGTGTAGTTGATATTGCCCTTATTGACTCTCCTGGTCTGAACACTGACTCTGTCAAGACTACTGCCGTCTTTGCTCGTCAGGAAGAAATTGATGTAGTCGTGTTTGTGGTGAGTGCCGAGAACCACTTTACCCTGTCCGGTAAGGAGTTCTTGTGGAATGCTGCCAACGAAAAAACCCACATCTTCATTGTCGTGAACCGATTCGACTCAATCCGTGACAAGGACCGTTGCAAGCGTCTTATTCTTGAACAAATTCGCCAACTTTCACCATCCACATATGCTGACGCTGATGATCTTGTTCACTTTGTAAGCGCCGGTAACGTGGATCTCGAACCCGGGTCCCGCAAGCTCGATGCCCCAGATTTTGCCCGCCTTGAGGAACGTCTGCGTGCATTTGTATTGGGTAACCGCACCAAATCAAAGCTGTCCCCGGCCAAACACTATTTGGTCAAGCTTTTGACAGACATCAATGTTCTTTCCCAAGCCAACAAGCAGATGGCTGGCCAAGAATACGAAGAAGCCACAGAAGCCCTTCAGAAGGATCTTCCTGCCTACGAACACCTTTTGCGTGTGCGTGATCGTCTTCTGAACCAGGTTGAAAAGGTTGCCGAGTCGACAGTTTCTACTATCCAAAAGAACACTATCGCACGTCTTAATACTGCTGTGGAACATGTCGAGGCCGCAATTCAAGGAATCGAATATCCCGGTATTTTCCTCGTTTGGCAATATGCCCAAGACATTGCCGACTCCATGTCTCAGTCTCTTTTGAAAGAGGTCCGTCAGGCGGAGCAGATCGCTCGCCAGGATACATCCTTGTGCGTTGACCGTATCCATGACATGGGTACTGAGCATCTTGGCAATTACCCTCGTGTAGCCGATGTCGAGAATATGTTGGTCAAGAACAACTCACGCCGTGTTGAGGTTACCGTCGAGGCCACTGACTTTTTCGATTTGGTGTTCGATGAGAAGCTGTCGGGTGCTGCTTTGTCCCTTGGTGCTGCAGCTATGGTTGGTGGTCGTATGCTCGGATTTAAAGACGCCGTCTCAAGTATCTGGAGTGTGTCCAACATGGTCGGTGCGCAGAACATCCGCCGTCTGGTTGTCCCTGTCGTTAGCATTGCTGGTATTGGTTTGGCCGCTTATGTTGTGTCGGATATGCGTAGTGCAGTTGAACGCAAACTGGTCAAGAAGTTCCAGATTGCTGCACGCGAAACCTCTCATGTTGAAGCACACGGTCAGCGTATCTCTCGTGAATCTCGCAAGGTTCTGCGCATGGAAGGCTGGGAGATTCACACTCGTCTCCAGAAAGCTATTGAGAACAAAGAACAGAAGCGCAGTGAAATGGAGATCATGGCCCATGATTCCCAAGAAACTCTTACTTACTTCAATTCCCTTCTTGAGAAGTCTGTTCTCTTGCTTGACAACGTGAACGCCGTACAGATCGAAGCTAATGGTATCCAAAGCAAGGAAATCGAAGAGAAGGCTTGTTAATTGGGGTTCATATCATATCCTCCCAAAAAAAAACAACGACAACGACACTCCTTCTTTATCTCTTTTTGATTCTCTTTATCTTCTTCTTCCTCAAACAAAAAAAATGGCTCCTCCTTCCCCTGTTCTCATCCATTGCTTTCCGATTGAAATAAATCACACCATAAAAATCAAGTCATCCAAAAGAAAAGTAGACCGCCACCTGGTTTCTTATAGACCAAATTTATCCATTAGAACTTCTTTTCTTTTTTCTATTATCATTTTTTATTATCCATATCCTTACCTTTCTTTATATGTTTCTTCTTTTCTTTTACTCATTATATAATAACACCTCTCCTTTTATATCCCTTTTCCTCTAATAAATAAACAATTGCCAATTCTTAAAGGTGTAAGAATTCATGTTAAAGACGTATAAAAATAACCAGAAAAAAAAAGCCTTTATTTTTATTTATTTTTGTAAAATACAAATTAAGAGTTGAGAGTAATAATTAAATAAATATACAATCTAGTTCCAGAAAAAGACAGCCAAGGCAGTAATAAGACCACCTGCAATTGCACTCTCAAGAGAGTAAAGCACCAGTGTCTTTTTACTTATAACCATCGTTGGCTGTTCGGCAGGAATATTTTCAGTAGGGGTAGAAATGGGTTTGAGCGTAGGTGTAGGTATGAGTTCAAGTGTAGGTGTGGGTGTAGATGTATATGTAGATGTAGATGTTGGTGTAAGTCTTGGTGTAAGTGTAGGCGTAGGCGTAGGTGTAGGTTCTGCACTAGTTGGTTCCACAGGAATTGGTTGTTGTTCTATTGAAGCCAGATCGCCAACAATGTTTTTATCGGTGTTCTTTAAAGTGATCTCATTTAAAGATTCTGTTTCAACCGGAAAGGCGTCAGGAATAGCCTGTGCTACTGCCAAATCCTCTAAAAGCACTTCTTCTGGGGTATTATTATCGATAGATTGGTCGATAGAGCTTTCGATAGTCTGTGGTGTTGCTGTGTGTGATTCTGATGTTTCTTTAATATACTCCGTTGGTGCATATAATAATGAATTTCGGGACAAATCGGCTAAAAGTGATAGAATTGTTTGCTGTTGATCAACAATAAGGGTATCCTTTGACTCAATTTTATCAAAGACCGACATAATCTTGGCTTCTTCTTCATCAACCTTAGCGACCAGCAATTCTTCAAATTGATCTGTTAGCCGCTTGCGTTTTCGTGGTTCAAAGACAGTCTGGACGGCTACAAATAGTAGCAGATTGACTACCATGAGAGCCCATGTACCATAAGTACTGACACTTCGAATCTTGTCACTCCACAGCTGTTCTTCATGGTATCTTTCCATAATTGAGCGTGCAAGTGCCATGTATTCTCGGTCCATTTGCTTTTCGGCTTGACGGTATAACTCCTTGGTGTTGATTTCTGCCCGTGAATGTTCGTGCTCAAGGCGATACAGTTCTGTAAAACGGGTAACATCGTCTCCTGTCCAAAGATGTTTGCGTTGGAGAAGTTCATTGATTTCACGCTGAGTGCTTGATCGAGTCTCTATTGCAGTCTCATAGCTTCTTTTTGCTAACTGTACACTATCTCGGGTTGCCTCAAATGCCTGAGCTAGGAATTTATTTGTTTTATTTGTATTTGTTGAGAGGGTTAATATTTTATTATCAACAAGTTGAACAAAAAAAAACCTAAGAAAAACACACTAGTCTCGAGATTTTACCTTGCTCATGTACTTTGTGTTTCACAAGTTCAATATGATTGTATCCTGTAAGTTCATTTAATGCTCTGCTAGCTCTTTTCAAAGCTTCTTTAGAGTCATGGACATCATGTGTCCAGCGTTTTAATGTATCGCTTGCCGATTGAACTCGCAAAATAAGAGGATCAATATGAGGGCGAATGTCTGATTGAAGTTTTCCAAGATAGGCTCGAGAATGAGCCAATGTTGATCCAAGTTGGTCGGAAGGAGAAGTATAATGAGCTCTTTGGACAAGTCCACAAGGTGCTCGGCATAAATGACGACCCAGTTTAGGTGGAAGTCTGTGAGCCATTATGAAGTTTTTAAAAAAAAAATTGTGCCTGACTAAAAACAGGCTTTTTTTTGCCTGACTGGGCTGACTGTCTGGCTGGCTGGCTTTATTCTATTCTTTACACGTCACGTGAGCGAGGGGTATTTTTTGCTTTTGTATTGTCTGTGTGGGTATTTTTTTTTATATTTCTTCTTTTTTTAACAGCAATTAATCGGACACGACGTCTCTTTCACAATCATTTTAGGACACGATGTTTTATCTTTGAACATGGCGTTTACAAACTATATAACTTGTATATATTACATATAAAAACTAAATTATAATCGGTTTTCATATCTAACTGTAACTGGAAACTTGGTTAAGCGTAAATACTTCATTACTTTATCTTCCGTACCTCTAAAAAGGAAGAGCGATACTCTGCACATAACTTACGTTTGGTCTCTGTATTTTTAAAACAAGTTCATGAATTACTCTTGCACAGGTAACTCACTATTTAATTGTGTTCCCAATTGAGATGAGCAATAGAGATAAGTAAACATTTAACTTTGAAGGGAATATCTGAACCTCGCACATAATACAGAAGATGGTAATTGTGTGCCCAATTGAAATAAACAGTAGAGAAGTAGCTAAAGTTAGGGATAAAATGGCACACTATATATTATTTGAATATACTCAAGAGAACTTTTAGCTATCAAGACAGTTATAGAAATTTGAAAGGCTTTCATAATTTTAGACAAACGGGGAGTGCAAATCGGTAGTAAATACTTAAAATTGATAACAGTATAAAAAACATATAAGACATTTTAGAAAGAAGTATTATCATAAATGCTAGAAGATGAGTATACAATGTATGAAATAAAGAAAAAGGAAACCAAACAACAAGTCCAGTTATTACTACTTTGTTTGAGCCAAAACTTTCAATTTTTACATGGATTATGTTTGTTTTTTGTTTTAGTATCAAATATTTAAATAAACTTTGACAAACAGTTTTCTCTTTCTCAGAATAGTATGGCTATTGCTTCTTAAACTTTCCTAAAGGGGGTCAGACGGTCTACCTCGTTTATGAATTAGATTAATTTCACTTATTTAAGCCATTGTGGGTGGTTATGGTTAAGCTGTAATTGGTGGATACCAGAACCCAAATTACTTTTCATGAGTTCAGTATCACTGCAAAGATTATCTATTTTACTTTCAAGTTCATCAATTGAATCTAAAGATATAGAAGACTCATTTTCTGCATTTTTTTATACAATCACTGCATAAAATGCCCAGGCTTTGAAATATAGATATTACTATAAGAAAATTACAAGAAAAGACGATAGAATACCTAATAGCACAGTTGTGAATTGCCCCATCGATCTTTACTACTAAATAAATATAGAGACTGCGTCTTCCTATGAACAAGAAAGAAAGATAAAATGTTTAATTAGCTGGGGGTAAGATTATGTGCTTGTTAGATAGTAGTCACTGCTTTAACCGTGACAACATTGGAGAAGAATGGGGTACTCTCACACACGCTAGCTCAATGAACATGCAAAATTGCATGAGCTGTAACTGATGCAGCTGTTTCAATTTCAATTTTTTTTTTCACTTTGATTATGTCACCTATTTTATCAAAATGAACTTCACTTCTTTTATACTCTATTTCTATAAATTCTCACCACAAGCACTCTTATCTTCTTCATTGTCTTCTATACTTTTTTCTTTCTTTTTTGGCTCTAGGTCCTGGAAGGTAATAGGGACCACAGTTCCCCCTTCAGGTACGGTGGTGAGCCGACCATCCAGATTCCTCTCCCTATCACATCTACTGGTAGCAGATAAAAGTCGTTGTCAGTACAAGCATGCACTCTCATGCCCTTATGCTCGTACGGTTCGACACCAGGTTCCCCTGTAACCAGAAGTTCCAGGTAGTGGGGTAACCCCTAAACTCTCCCTCAGACCCGACGGGTAAGGCTGCAGCCTCTGGCCATACCATCAGGAGTCAGCTTTTTTTTTTTTCTTTTTCTTTTTCAAACCACCAATTAAGTGTTTGGTAAGTTTTGCCAGCTTTTTGTTAAACTTTTGCTCACACAATTTTAGGTGGTTTTATTGTCTTTTTAATAAAGTTTGATATCATCTGCAACACAGTCATGATGTAAAGGGAGACTGAGACGGGCAAAGATAAACGAGTGCGAGTGAACTATATGGCATCAGAAACAAACCAAGATGGACACAAATGCTGAATCACCTTAGTCTACACCTGAAACTTGCTAGGGCAGTAGAGCACATAATGTTGAAGAGCGTCTACCTCAAAGTAACAGAAAGAACGGCTCGTGCTAATAAAGAAAGGGAAAATATGATGAAAGACGAACTCAGCTGTGAATACCCTTTGACAAAGGATTTTTCACCACCACAGGGGTAGCGCTTTGCGAGACATAGATAATCGACAAAACAATTTCCAGGAAATGTCGGCAGAAGGGAATGGAAAGGATGATAGAAGCAGATACCGACAGAAGGATATAGATAATAAGATATCGCTGTAATAAATAGCATCAGAAGACTGCAAGTAACTAAAGGAATATACTATATGATAAAATTGGTAATGATTTTGGATATTTTAGATTAGAAAAAATCCCTCATTACAAACCTGTCAATAGACCAACAAGTGAAACCGAAGTTTGGAGTATGTTTATCGACCCTATAATTGATGGATTACTCAGTGACCCAGAAGAAAACTACCATGTAAGATGGTAAGCTTACAATATTGATACAAACTCCAAAAAATAACAAAGTTGGTTTATTTCATACAAAAGGACAAATACGAAGGACAATAATAACGATCAAGAGCGACCAGATAGTGTCGTCTGTAAGATGGTCGAGAGCACGTGGGCACATAGTGTTGGCTGTGGGGAGTGTAAGGTGGCAGAAGTCAATAATAATCTTTATATATTAGCTTGGGATCTGTGTCGTCTTGGTTATTTCAACAAGCACAGTATCAATGAAAACATGATTCGTAAAGCCGTAGCTTTTCAGTGCAAAGATAAATCAAATTCAAACAAACATAAATTAGCACTAGTATTTATGTTTCTTTAAATGTAGGACATGGCGTTACTTTCTATGTCACGGAGCTCGCCTATGATGGTCTTTATACAATGACCGAAATATGTCATATTCAAGTTCCCAAATCGTTAACCACTATGGATACATTGGTCTCACGCCGCTCTCTTGTGTCTTTACTTCAAATCGTCCATGTATTTAATCAAGTGAAAGAGGAACAAACAGTTGCATCAAAAAAGTGTTCTAGCATGAAAAGAGATGGTCCCAGTTTGAAATGGTTGAAGTCTTTTGCTAGTGATAAGAAGGATCGTAGAAGAGAGTCTTCTATAAGCTTTTAATATGTTGCTTTATGAACGCCGTACTTTTCCAAGGCCTATCTTTTACATGCTCTACTCTCTCTCTATATATATATATTAATGTACTTCATTAAGTTATACATGTCATAATACCTTGCTCTTTTGAAATTAAAATCCCATAACACATACATATTATTGTACCCGCAAATTATATTCATCTATCTCATATCAGTCTTTATTGATAATAAAATTCCTGCATTTATGTTTATACAAGGTGAGTGAATAGCTCAATACCATCTGAACTGTCGTTGGATAGGTCAGTGATGATTTTTCTTTGTATGTTTATATATACAACGATATTTTTAAATGAAAATTGTGCTAGTCTTGCTTCGAAACTGCGCAACCTGAGAAGAACAATAAACTTAAGAGTACCTGTCCATGACAATATTTAAGCTATGTGCGTATATGTGTGTTTTCTTTCATAAGCAAGTAAATATCAAGTAAGAAACAGAAAAAAACGATTGATAAATAGTAAAAAATTAATTTATTGAAATTTTCAAAATGAAGAGTCATATATATGTATGTGAAAGGGTATTGAAAAGCTGATATTTTTTATTAATGAAAATAAAAATATATACATAAGAATAAGAATAAAAATTGATTCAATTATTAACGAAGTGGATAAAAATTCTTATAGGGACTCTTGTAAGGACTCTTGTAAGGAATATCATAAGGATTCTTATAAGAATTCTTATAATATTCTCTTTCAAATCTTCTCATACAAGTTGTAGAGCCAATCTTAGCAAGTTTGTCTGCCGCTTCGTTTCCTGGGATGCCATTGTGAGCAGGGACCTTGGCCTAAAGAGCAACAAAAAGAAGATTAACGAGGCTGTTTGGTTCTAGTATTAAGCAAGGTAAGACATTTACAAAATACACTTTAGCCTGACGCAAGTTCAGTTGGAATTTTATACGTTTTAAAATATCTCTGATTACTGGATCTATGATAGTAAACCTCCCCCGTATCGCTATTAAGAGCAATATATACAGACAAAATATGGGTTATCAGTATTTGCAAGTATGAGTGTCTATTGACTTTATAGTATATTATCCGAATGAAATGAAGGCTGATTTACCTAAAATACTATGCATACTGTCAGACTCAATCCGTAACGAGGAAGTTGGATCCCCACAAACTTGCAAAGCTCTCAAGATAGCCTAAAAGAATACGTAAATAAATAAATAAGTAAAGTCTTACGAATGAACACACTATTTAAATTTGATAGCAAAGAAGAACAAGTATGCTGTAATTGTTGCTGTTGTTGTTAATGTCAAACTTACCATCAGTTCAGCACCATCAGAACTGACGATTTCAGCGCCGCAAGGTTCACTCAAGTTTCTGGGGTCATTATTTCCCCAATATACTCCTAGTCCACCGAAACATCTCCCCATATTCCCAAATTTTTTGAAGCGTAAAGATCCATCCACAAATGCAGTGTGAATTGTTAGTACGTCTTTTTCCAAACTGGAATTATACTACATGTATTTATTTATTTATTTATTTTAAAAAAAGTTAATAAAATGTAATACTTGAATTATTCAATGAAAAGTATCCCTATAAACTTAAAGCTTACCTCTTTAACACGCATATATGCTTTATAAACTTCACTCCCACAAACTCTACTCATATCATAAGATTGGAAATTATATTTGGATATACGGTTGTATCTATCCCTAGTGTGTGCAACCTAAAATGCATTGATAGATATAGACAAGTAAATAAACAAATACGCGCACGCATATATATATATATATATATTGGGGGGGGGGGGGGGGGGGGGGGGGGTATTCAACCGAAACGTGCGTACGCTTCCAAATTTATTCCTTGGCCAATGGTACAACTTCTGGTTGAGGATACCAAAAACGCAAAAGTACAAATTCAGCACAAAATTGTCCATGGAACTTTTTATGTTTTTAGTTTCTTCCAATAATGATATTGTTTTCAGGATTAAGAAGCTGTGCGTACATTACGGTTGAATACTCCTCCATATTCAATATATCTTAAAAGCCATTTGTTTCTTTTTTTTTTTTAAAAAAAAAAAGTCCAAACCTTTTTGTGATGTGATGTTTCGATAACGTTTAAGCTGCGACGTAGCCGATCTAGTTCTTTGGCTTTAGCTTTCGATACTATTTTCATTTTCTCTGTTATGTCAACCACATCATCTTCTTGTATATGACTTAATCTATGCAAATTTTTAATATTAATATTATTATTATTATAGTTCTTATCGTTGTCATTATATTTATCTTTATCTATCGATACATATAGTCTCTCTTTCTCTCTCTCTCTCTTTGATCTCAAAGAGTATTGTGTAATAAGAAAAAGAAAAAGGAAACAATAGCAATAATAGCAATAATAATATTTCTTTTTTTACCTTTGTTGGGTTATATTTTCGTACAAAAAAACGCAAGAATCGTCGTCGCCTTCATTATTTTGGTTAACAATAGTATCTTCTTCATCGTCACTGATTTCGATATAGTCATCAGTCGTTCCAGTCGTGTCTTCACTGATTTCAAAGTCTCTGCTGTTGTTACTGTTCTTGTCAGCAACCTCTACATTATTATTGTTTAGTTCCATAACACAGTCATAAAACTCTATATCTCCAGAACTGCTATCCATGTCATTAAGCGCATCTGTGTAGTTGGATTCGACATCAGTATTACTAGTTTCCATATTGCTGTCAGTGGTGTCTGGGCTCGGTGGTGTTTCTGTAGGGTTTTCTAAGGCACTGAATAATGATAAATGAGTTAGAGAATCTGCAACAGTTACATCATAAATTCATTTTTATGACCGATTTAGATCATTTGTAGCTATTAGATTTCAGAAAACATTATATATAATGTAAATTAGCTACATCGACTATTGAATCCAGTAAAAATATATATATAGCCAAACTGAGCACATTTGAACTTTTACTATCGATGTTGTCTTTCCTTTTTTTTGTATTGGTAATTTTATTTAACACTTGTCTTTTATAAATAAATCAAAAATGTAAATTTAATGATTTTCAGATTTTCAGATTCATAGTGAGCATAACTTGTGAGATTTTTTTTTTTGCGTACTTCTATAGACTATTATTCCTTTCAACAAAGGATGTGAAATAAGAAGAGCAAATCAAAATGTAAAGGTTAATTTATAAAACTACATTATAAATCATGTAACTTGAAATAAACTGCTGCAGGCAATATATGTATATTAAAACAATTTTGAAATCTATATATTAAATCGGCCATAAAAATTAATTATAATCTAATCACTAGGGGGTTTTTTTTTTTGGATATTTCGTACTCTACATTAAGAGTATCAGCAGCGGTTATATTTCAGACTACATTATTTATAATGTAGTTTTATAAATCAATTTCTACAGTTTGATTCGCTCTTCTTGTTTCACATCCTTTGTCGAAAGGAATAATAGTCTATAGAAATATGCAAAAAAAAAAATCTCACAGTATGGAAATCCTTAAATTTACATTTTCAGTGTATTTATAATAGACAAGTGTTAAATAAAATTACCAGTACAAAAAAGAAAGAAAGAAAGAAAACTTCAAATGGTCTAAAAGTTCAAATGTGCTCAATTTGGTTATCTGTTGTTGTTGTTTTTTTTGGCTGCATTCAATGGTCGATGTGGCTAATCTACATTATGTATATTGTTTTCTGAAATCTAATAGCTACAAATGCTCTTAAATAGTTAGATAGACCTACATTTCACACTAACAGAAATCACAGCAGCCATTTACATTAGGATTCAATATTATACATAAACTCTGATTATAAACCTAGTAATAATAGATTATATGTTACCTCATTGTCCATGGTATCGTCCATTGTATCGTCATTGTCGTCGTCATCGTCGCTGATAATTATCACATCCTCATCCTGGTTTTGAGTGGCAATTGGATCCGAATTTGCAAAAGATCCAAACAAAAGTTCCCAGCTTTTTTTTAAAGGCTTGCTAGGCCCTTGGTGCTCAAGAATATTTTTTTGTTCTCTTTGTGTCATGATGTTTGCTGTTGTCTTTGGAGTATGAAAGGATGGTTTTTTTTTATAATAAAAATAAACAGGAAGTAAATGAATAAAAGGTAAAACGTTTGAGAAGAAGAAGGGTCACTAATATTTTGTAGGATCCAAGCTTTTTATATATAAATATAAATATCTTGGATTCCCAAGATTTATTAATAAATAAAAATAAAATCATTGGATATAAAATGAGGATAGTCGCTGTATAAAATGTCAAGAATTTCTTTTTATTTTATTTATTTTTCTTAATAAAAAAAAGAGAGGTAAAACCGTTTTGAAACCCTTGTAAATGTCAATCATTTTATATAGATATATAAACGAACACATGCAAGTAAAGAGGTAGTAAGTATGAGAATGATAGACGAGTATAGTTATTTTTCTGAGCAGTTGATCCAATGTCTCTAATGATAACGATGTTGTTATTATTCGTACCCTTGCGTTTAGGAAATAAATATTCTATGCAATGTTACTTTCTTTTTATACAACAGCGATTAGATATGCTTACTATATATATATATATAAACATGGGCTGTGTATAGCTAGAAGGGAAAGGGGGAGGGGATGTTTTCACTCATATGACATCACACATATTCGCTATACAGTCCCCAATAAATAGCTGGTATATACATAGTAGAAAACAAGTGAGAAAGAAGAAAAACACACAGCAAACGTATGCGCGATCTACATCTTTTATATATAAGACTTTAGCACTAAATACTACCCTAATTTATTTATTTAGCTATATATATATTCAACATTAATACTTCAAAATAAGAAGCAGAGTTGTAAGGTTTAAGACGCCTTCACGTATAGATAGATAAATAGATAGAAACTCAAAATATGCACCCCCACCCTTCCCCTCGTATTGTTTCTTCACGATAGCAAGATTTGTCCATATATACATATCATAGATACATTTTATAGATACTAGTGTGTGTTTCTTAATTTGTTAGTCTTTGACTCTGACTTTAGCTTTGGCTTTGGCTTTGACTTTGACTTTAGTTTTTTTTGTAGGAATAATATTAGATCGATGATCTTTACTATTGGTATTATTGCTTTATTTTGGAGAGAAATCGCCTTTTTTTTTATATTTTTGACAAGAGAGAAAGAGAGGAAGAGAGAGAAAATTAACATTGTGTGACACAGAACGTGCATTGACCACCCTACCAAAAAAAAAATACAAACCTATATAGTATTTCAACGATGTAGTGTAAAACAAACACTTTTATATATAAAGGTTGAATAGAAATTGAACCTGATGATAATTATTATCTAAAATAAAGAAAGAAAGACAAGGAATTTTATTTATTATAAAATGACATGATTAGTCAAAAGCTCTCATAGTATCGAGTGTAATTATATATATATAATAATAATAATAATAATAATTATGTAAAGAAATTTTTACCTCATATTTTACAGCAACAACAACAACTACTGCTAAAGAAAAAAATATGATCTTACTATTTAAGTCCCTAGAATACTGTCATTATTATTAATTATTTTTAATTATTTTTATTAGTATTTTCTTTATATTTTATTTTGCTTTCTTTATATACCTAGTACAAAAAGGCATGGTATTGAATTTAGACTGAAGATCAATAGACTCCAGTATCATCTTTACAAGTCTGGTCTGGTTTTACTGGAATAGACAGCAAGGAAAGGAAGAGTGGGAGAAAAATGTAATAAATTATCGGAGTTGTCGGATGAATGATATAACAAGAAAAAGGGCCATTCTTTTTTCCGTTCTAAAGCAATTATTTTATTTGATTTTTTTTTTTTAAATTTTTTACTCCTATTTCTAGTTAAATTCCTTTTTTACTCTTTTTTACTACTCTTATTGATTACTTCTTTACTTACTACTCTTAATATTCTTAATATATACCTCATTATATTTCATATTTATCTACCAATAGAATGACAGGCAAGAATATGGCCAAACTCAACCAATATCTATTACCTATATAATTGTATTACTAATATATCTTATTCAAACTTCTACTAGACCTCTACAGGGCACACCACGACTACGACGCCCAACAAGACGACGAACTCTCTCTAAAGACTAACCAGATAGTCCGTCTCACAAATGCTGATACAAATGACTGGTGGCATGTCCAAGATTTAGAAAATGGTCAGTCAGGAATTGTCCCCAGTAATGTAAGATTTCCAACACCAAAACAAAACAAACCATTTTTCTTTTGTTCGTTTGTTATAATATAAAAGCAATACTCATCCCACTATACAAATAGTTTCTTGAAAAAGTGAAGCCAGAAACAAAAGGTAAGCGACAGTTGCCTATATACATATACACTTATTAGCCGGTGATTTATTTTATATTTTATATACCATTTACGTGTATGTGTGTGATGTTTATTTTCTTTAAAAATATAAAATAAAAAAGGTCTGGTGTTGGCAAAGGTCAAGGAAGATTATGCCGCACAAGACCCAACTGAGCTGAGCTTGTGGAAGAATGGAATTGTCACCGTGGTTGATCAGTCGGGACAAGAAGGATGGTGGAAAGGTGATTTGAATGGAAAGACTGGCCTCTTCCCGGCAAATGTAAGAATCTAATGATTATGACTCTATTATTTCCTTTTTTTCTTCTGTTAAAACTAATAAATATATATGTATATTCGATAAATTCCCACTTTTTTTTTAAAAAAAAATCTAATAGTATGTGGAACTCATTGATCACTCAGAGGTCACAGAAACAGATGGCCGTAAGTATAAAGACATTATTGGGATCACAAAGAAGAGAAACTCATATTCTTGAGCTTCTTATGTATCAAAAGAAGGATTCAAATTAGCAGCGTATGGAGTAAAGCAAGGAGGAATTGGTAGTATTCTTGCTGGAGGAGGATTTCCTTTGAGAAGAAATACGGTTAAACGGGCAGAGAGAACCGAAGATCATGTATGTGTTAAATCATTGGCTTTTTTTTTCTCTTATTCTTCTTATTGTTATTTATCTTGCCATATTTTCTTCTTCTTATTTCAACAATAATCTCATATGATAACATTTCTTTCCTTTTGTTGGATTTTGAATCCTATAGTCTTCTTCATTACCTCCACCTCCAACAAAGTCTACACCTAAAATCCCGGAAGAAACACATAATGCGCCATGTAAGTTGATCCTAAAAGCTGTATAATATATATATAAAGAAGAGTGTCTTCTGGTGGATTTGGCGAATCTGGTGAATTCGAGCTATTAAGAAAGCCAAGAGATTTATCCACCAAATTAACCTAACCAATTAATTAATTGGGCTTTTTTTTTTCAATGGCAGCCAACCCTGAAAAAGTACAGTCTCAGCAACCAGGCACAATCCTCAAGGCAATGGTAACCCATGACTACACACCTGCAAGTGATGGTGAGTACAAATAAGACCAAAAGAGATAAAGAGATAGATATGCTAAATGTTTGCTCCATGATAAATCATTATGTAGATGAAATCAAATTAATGAGAGGAGAGTACGTTATTGTCAAAGACAAAGATGATCCTACATGGTGGGTAGGCATCAATGAAGGAGGTCAGGAAGGTATATTCCCCTCCAACTTTGTCCAGCTCCTAGAGCCACAACAGCGACCTCCCGTACGACCATCGCGTACTCGTCCACCGACCATTCGTACCGATACCTCACCTTCCTCCAACGCATCA